AGCAAACGCTGAACATGGCCGACGCCAGGGTTGAGAGAGCGTCGGTGGGAACATTTGGTTCCAGCATGGTCCTACTTGCAATGAGATCTGCGCCTCTGGTTGCAAGTCTCAGGGCTTCCCAGTATCTTGCCTCAGGGTTTCCACTCGCCAAACATTTCAGAAAGAATGGGCGTTTTTCCTTTCCAGGGCATATGTCGCTGGGGACACAGCAAAGGGCATAAATGTTGGAAGATTTGAGGACATCGTCGTTGAAAACAAGCCGGAGGGTGCGCTTTCCAGCGCGGACAAATGGTCCGAGTCGCCAAAATGCTTCACTGCCGAGCCTCTTGAGGATTTCGATAAGAATTTCATCAGGCAAGTCTGGGAGCGTCATGTTCGGTTTAGGGTTTGTTATGTTTGGTTTAGGGTTTGTTTTCGTTGGAAAGGAGGCAAGTTTTGTTAAGACAAAGCAAAATCTTCATATATGGACTTCACTGGTGTGTGGTTGGGGGGTGGAGAATTTATTATACGGTTGAAAATAATATAATAGTGTTCTCCCTTTTAGTAAATATTTCACGTAACCATTTTCTACCCCCCATTTTTTAAGAATAATGGTCAGTTCGCTTTTATTAAAGTGCCCGAAACTAGTTTCATTTATAATGTAGTGCGACGTGTTGGAGTCAGTTTAGCAGTTATTGAAGTGGCTCTTAACTTTATACCAACCACGAATTAGGACATTTATATATCTATCCACGCTATCTACAAATAAAGCGAATCAAATTTATTCTTCACCACAGTTAAACAACAATGCACTACTTAGACGATGATGTTTTAGGGTTAATAGTAAAGAAACTAGTTGAGGATGACTCCTATCATCTTGGCCCCTTCATTCGTGCAGGAAACCGTGGAACAGCCATTGCGTTCACCGACGACGTGTTACGGTCTGCAGACATCTCTCGATTGGTTGAGTCACCGATCAACGTATCCCCTAACAACCCTTACCGCCCATTCTTTGAGCGTTGTCTTGGCGCCTATAATCCACGAGTTGCCGTGCGTGAGCGAAAATTGTATTCAGCGATTACAATGCTTAACCGACTTGTCCCATGTGATAAACATGCTACTTTCGCATGTGCCATGTTTGAAATTTGCGTCGGACGTCCATGAAGGGCTAAAAAACTCCTCACGTATGTATTCACTCTACACGTCCCTTATGCGGCTAATGAAATGAAGCTGTTAGCGCACGACGTTATACGTCACGTATGGGAGTTCGCTCTAGGGCTGTTTCAAGATACGTGGGGTATCCTTTGGTCCTTTCCCATCACCCTACAATAAGAACCTATATCGGAGTGTGTAGATGAGCATTACGATGGCACAAATACACCTGACTGCGAGTATTGCCTTCTACAATGCACGGCTCTGCGCATAAGATATTTTCTTTAGTTTAGTTATTTTAATTGCAAGTACTTGTTTAATTTTTGTAATAAATTAAAGGTAGAAAGTAAGTGAACATCACTTCACAAACTTATTGTAACAAGTAGCTACTAAGAACGTAACTAGACCAAGGAAACGAATCATACCCAAAGACCTAAAATGCATGAAATAAGACATGATTTGGACTAAAACATGAAAGCTAAATGATGCATTTTATGAACATATCAACTCCCCCACACTTGTCCTTTGCTTGTCCTCAAGCAAACAAGAACAAATGAGAGAGAGAGGTTGAATGCATGGGAGTTCACATTTCCTTTTTGAGAGAAGTGATCACAATGAGAATTCAAGTTCATGCTCAATTATGCAATGCAAAGCCATACTCAGATTCATTAAGTATATATCAACTCAACAAGGAATCTCCACAAGTTCTTCTCTCTCTCAACTCTTTCACATTCATTAAGCTTTTTACCAAGTGGATCAAATGATGCATTGTTCAAACAAACATAGTTTGGCTAGGGTGAGGTTATGAGACTAAAATGATCTCATCAATGCCTGAGTGGGTTCAATGCAGCAAAAGGATCTCTCTATGAATGACCAAACTTTGGCAGAATGCTAAAGGTAAAAGGCAACCTATGCATACAAGGGCAAAGACTCATCCCACCCCACACTCTACTCAAAGTTTCCTCACTTGCTTACTTTTCACACTCATTCTTCTCTCACTAGGGGATTCTCTTTTCTTTTTCATACACAAGTCTTGGAGTTCAAACTTTCCATAGCTCTTTTTCACTTTTTTTTGTAACCTCTAACCTCTTTTTTTTTCTTTCTTTTTTTTCTTTTTAAAACATTTGAGCTCTTTGGCTTCTTTTCTTTTCACTTAGAGGCTAGACTCTTTCTTTTCAAAACACTAGAGCTCACTTTCTTTGACTCAAAACTCCAAGACTGATTTCTTTTCTTTTTCTATACCCTAGTTCTCACCATTCTCCTTTTATTTCCACTCATCTCTCCTTTTTCCACTCACCATGGTATTCCCCCACACTTAGTTCTTGCCAAATCTCTCAGCTCCTTGATGATGGAACTTAGCACTCAATGAGACTTGCCCTTGTCGCCCTAAACCTAACACTTTCTGCTAAGTTTGGTCCAAGGTGGCCTCTCAATCACACACAAACAATTGGCTTGAAAGAAGGATGGGTTCAGGGTGAGGAAAACTGATCTATTATGCAGATTCAGCTATTTGAGCTAACGAAGAGGATGGTAAAAACAGGATTCTAGCTCAAATATGTGTATTGGTATCCACAAGCTTGTTCAAACAATGCACCAAATGATAATTTCAAGTCAAGTTCAGGGTTTTCACTTAATTAGAGTTGAGTTCAATTCAAACTTTCTTCTCAGATTCAGATCATTTCAGACTTTGCAAGCACAGAAAAAGATTCACAAGCATATTCAGTTCAAGTTCTCAAAGTGATGTACTCTCTAGAAAACCTATCATTACTCCCTGCAAGATGCAACCTACATGCATATGCAATCTAGACTCAATCCTAAAAATGAGAATGCAACTACATGATCATTTTTTTGTGAAAATTTTTCAGATTTTTCCATTTTTTGGGTTTTTATATGCACTTAGATGAGACTACATGAATATGCAACTAGAATGTGACTCAAGACTCAAAGTGTAAAATAAGAAAAGAGAAAACATGATTAGTAAAGGATGAAACTCCTCCCCCACACTTAAATAACACAGTCCCTTGTTGTGTGAGCCAAAACTCGCACAGCCAGACATTTGTCTAAGGAAAAATTTAGGGATCGGAAACTTCTAGGGTTTATCGCCAAAAACAGTAAGATCGAAAGAAAGTTTTTCTTGCTGTAAAGTGTTTAGTCTTTATTGCTTAGGGTTGCCAAAGTTACAGAGTGAATTGTTTACATCATCTATTTATACTAATTCTTCGAACCGCCTAGCCGAGAATCTCGGGAGAGATTTTCAGAATATTTCTTTATCGCCTCGTGCGGCTCACCGCCTTTGTATTTCGCCTAGGGTTTTCATGGGCTTCGTGTCTCAAGGCTTTAGTTCAGCCCATCTAACTTTTCCACGGCTTTGCCCATCTAACTTCTCCACGGCTCGGCCCACTTGCCACCTTAGTCGAGACATGATTCGGTCCACCTCACCGCGGCACGGCTCGGCCCAGGTATGTTAGAGAGGGGCTCGGCCCATTTCTTATAATACGGCTCGGCCCATCTCTCCTTCTTCACGGCTCTCCCACTTGGTGATCGCGGCTCTCCCGCTTGTCTTGGTGGAAACAGCTCTCCCTCTTGCCTTGGTGAGAACGGCTTTCCCATCTGGTGGCCACGGCTCTCCCACATTCCATACTTAGTCATTTTGGGATGGTTTTATCTGTGCGGGGTGAAAACCGACCCCAACAGTTAGCCCCCCAGCTCGTCAGTTTCGGAGGCGAGAATGACGAGGTCCATTACTCCTGACCGTTAGATAAACCATCGAGCCAAGCTGTTATGACGTAAGCCCAGATAAGGTGTTTAGGGAGTGCAGACGCCAAGGCGTTTCCAAGGAATGCCGAGGGTGCCGAGGTGTTTCGAAAGGGTACCGAAGATGCCGAGGCGAGTTAAGGATGAGGCGATTTGATGGTGGTTATGCCAAGCCGAATAAACGGCGAGGCGTTTCAAGATAGAGATAATGCCGAGCCGTTCTGTTAACGACGAGGCATTTCAAGATATAGATAATGCCGAGCCGTTCTATTAACGACGAGGCGTTTCAAGATAGAGATAATGCCGAGCCATTCTGTTAACGACGAGGCATTTTGAAAGAGAGAGATAATGCCGTGCCGTTTCGTTAACGACGAGGCGTTTCAAGAGAGAGATAACGCCGAGCCGTTTCGTTAACGACGAGGCGTTTACTTTGGTAAGATACCGGTCGAAAGCTTGGGTGCCTAGATCGTTGGTCTTCCGAGAGAAGACTCCTGATCTATTGGCGCGTGTGACCGACGCAGTTTGATCTAGCCGTTTCACTGCGGATCCCACGCGCTGTTTGGACAGTTCCCGAGGTTCACGTAGAATTCACGCGCTTCGTTTTTTTCTATAAATGGGTGAGCTCCTTTACTCTTCCTCATTATCTTCAGACTCACTCGTTTTTTCTAAAGGTAGTTCTCCCTTCTCTCTTCTTTCTCTCTCTAGTTTATTTATTTTCCGGCTAGGGTTTCCGAGGTCTCCGCCGCTCTAGATCTTTTTCCGGCGGAGGCTCGCCGAGTCGTGCTGTAATTTCTGTACAAGTCGTAAATTATGTCGAGCCACTCCGACGATTCGTTGGATTCACTTTTTCACTACGAGTCGAGCCGTGTAGACGCCGAGGCGAGAGGTACAACAGAATTCTCCGAGGCATCCGTTTCGCCGAGAGTTCATCTGACGAAGCGTTAAATCACGCAAATCCGTTAGATGTCGACTCTACAGGTGACGAGCCGTCGGTTTCGACGAGCCGTCCCCAGGATCCTATTCCTGATGAAGGCATCAACTGCGCCGCAGTCAAACCCGAGGAGGAGGCATTTCCCTTTGACTTATTCTAGGCGAAGCGTGAGCTGGAACGTCTCATGGCATCCCGAGGCGCTTCCACATCTGGGCGAGGACCAAGAGTTAAGAGACAAAAACCTGACCCGCCTGGCTCTACGCTTTGCTCCCTCGAGTCGCTCGAGGCGTTGAGGCATCGCTTCGGGATATCTGAGGCGGTGGAGTTTGTCGTTCCAGAGAAGAGCGACCGAGCCGACAAGCCTCCAGAGAATCATTTTACTCTGTACGATGCGTTCTTCGAGCTTTGCTTCCTCTGGTTCTCGATCCCCGGAGTGATCCTTGAATATCTCTGGAAACACGAGATCTCGATTGGGCAAATCATGCTGAGGGGATTACGGCATATGATTGGCATCTTAGTTCGAAGCTTCGAGTGCGGAGTTGACATCGAGCTGAATCACCTGCTGAACTTGCTGGAAATCCGGAAAGCTCCGAAGGGAAATAGATACTATATTTCCAACACGGCGAAACGACGGATCATCGGCGGTTTTCCCAGAAAGGATCAGTTTTGGACTGAACGTTTCTTCTACGTCTTAGTGAACGAGGCGTCGGTCGGCGAGAATTACGTCCAAAGAACCAAGACCGCTTGGGGACCACTTGGTAGCCGACCCAAAGCTTTGCCTCGGCTCGGAACTGTTTTTGGTATCCTCTTCCTTTTCTGAAGATTTTTCCTTTTTGCTTTGTTTTGCAGTTCAGTGCTATCTTCCCCCGATTCCCGACGACCTCTTTACTGTTCGAGACTCTCTTTCGGTGCGGAAGGTGAATTGGAGAAAGAACTTCACCCTCGAAAGAGTAGAAAAAGCGCGAGCCTCCTTGCCGGAGTCCCCGTCAGTTCTTCGTCCTCAATTTCTTTGAGAGATACCCGTGAGAAGATGGTGGTAATCGCCCTTAGAGAAAGGAAGAGGCGCGAGGAAGAGAAAGCCGCTAGACGAGCTGCCGAGGCGGCTCACGCGCAAACCGAGGCGGTTCCAGCACAAACCGAGGCGGTTCTGGCGCAAGCCGAGGCGGTCTCAGCGCAGATCGAGGCCGTCCTTCAACCCGACCCTCCGAGCCGGGAAGGGGATGTGATGATCCGAGCCGCAGAAGGCGACACTGCCGAGGCGGCTGAGAAAGATGTAGTGCTCGAGGTGGAAACGGGCGAAATTATCCCCGAGGTGTCCGGGGACGGCTTGGCGGCACGGAGTAAGACTCCTTCGCAATCCGCCATCCTGGCCCTCCCGAAGTCAACGAGGCCACCGACTTCGGTTGTCCAAAAGCATGACTCTAGCCGAAAACGTTCGGCTACTGACAAGGGGAAATGCGTCGCCGTTCAGAAGGACGAGCCGTCCAAGAAGAGGCGGAAACCGACGCCCGGGACCCCGCCGCGCGTAAGTTGGTTGTTGACGACCCGACGCTTCTGCAGTCATGTTCTCGCGTGTAAATAACGCGAACACGCGTCTTCCTCTGGAGAAGCTGAGGAGGCCGAGGTCATATGGCGCGATGGCACAGCGTGGTACCAAGGTACGTTTCCATTCGCTTTCCTTTATTTTCGCGAATTTTACGAAGTGTTTAACGCAGGTTCGTTCTCTGCAGTTTGTCGCGGCCATTAACGACCTGATGGCCGAGTATGAGGCAGATCTGTCTAAGGTCGAGCGTCGTTTGGACGAGGCCCGAAATGAGACCGCGGCGTCAAAGGTGAAGCTGGAAGAGGTGCCAAACGAAGCCACGACAGCGAAGGGGAAACTCACCGAGGCGATGACCCGAGTGTCGAGGTTGGAAGAGGAGAAGATAGTTCTCCGAGCAGGCGTCAACAAAGTTTCCGCCTCGGTGATTCGCCTGGAGGAAGCAATGAGAGCCAAAAGCGCCGAGGTGGCGTTGCTTAAAAGGCGTATCGAGGCCAAGGATGCGCTGTTCGAAGCCAAGGTCAAACACGCGAAGAAGGAGGCGAGGAGCGAGCTGACTGCGAAGTTTCAGGAACGCCTCGCCAAGGTGGAGGAGGGTTTGGTCAAGCTCGAGAAGGCCAAAAATGATGAGAACGATCTGGGACAGATCAAGGGCAATCTTGCGATGATTGCCGACCTGAAGAAGCCGGACGCCCTGACGCTTGACGACGAGGAGGCGAAGTTGAAAAGCTGGGAGAGTGAGTATGCCGACGACGAGGCGTACGAGCGTATTGCTTCCGAGATTCGGGGCAAGCTGTATTACTCTCCAGTATCGCCGGACTCGGTCGACACCACCCTCGGCAACGAGCCGCTCGAAGAGACAGCGGCCAACTTAGGCGTGGTAGATCCAAACAGATCAAACGCGGGCACGCCAGTCCTCTCGAACCTCCTCGCCGAACGTGAGACGCAGTCCGCGGCCTGATACCCTCTGCTTTTCCATGTTTCGTCTTTCATGCTTTTGTACTTAGGTTTTTTGTACGTTTTTGAACTCTTTATGTAACCGGTGCCTGGACGGCTTTATCCACCCGACACTTATTTTTGCTTATGGATATATTTTCTCCTTTAGCTGTTTTTCGTTTGGATGCACTTATTTTTAATGACTTGTGCAAATATCTGTGAAAACCAATGGCTTAGAGAAGATTGTCGAGAATGATTTTGATTGCTTCCTTAACCGAATTCTTCGAAATCGATAGAAAGACGAGCTAAGGGTTGAGTCGTTTAAGGATCTCGTTTGGATTCTTAATCCCGAGCTGGGAGTTAGTTTTGTGGAACATCCTTTAGGTGATGCTGGAAAGATTTTAAGTGATAATGTTGCAGAAAATTTTCGTAGCAACGCCGAGCCGTTTTTAACGACTAGGCATTTTTGCCGTGCATGGTGCCGAGTCGTGTAAACGACGAGGCGTTTTCTCTTTGCATGGTGCCGAGCCGTGTAAACGACGAAGCGTTTTCGCTTTGCATGGTGCCGAGCCGTGTAAACGACGAGGCGTTTTCTCTTTGCATGGTGCCGAGCCGTGTAATCGACGAGGCGTTTTTGCTTTGCATGGTGCCGAGCCGTGTAAACGACGAGGCGTTTTGTTTTTGTTTGCGAAGGATGAAGTGTTATCGATCCTGACTATGGACCGGTGTTTCCGAGAGGATGAGTATGTTTATACGGGTTTTAAGAGTTTAATTCGGTTTTAGAAAAAGCGATGTGGTCTCGACTTATATTCTCGTGTGCGATAGTAAACCGTGGCGACCTGATACATTTTCGGGGTTATATTTGTATAGCGCGCTTCATTGTTATCCATAGAGGATGTAACTTGCACCCTAGTCCTAGGAAAGGTGGTAAAAGTCCGTTTAGAGAACTTTGTATTTGTTGCCCCGTTGTGGCCAGCAACGAGACGAGGCGTTCGGAGGCTTAGTTTGCCGAACTGAAACTGAAGACCAACAAAGGTCCGAGGTAATCAGGTCATGATATCATGCCGAAGTGGTATGATTACTCGCCAAAGTGATGAGTGAAAGTATTTAAAAATCCGAGCTTGTTAAAATAAGTTGCTGATTTAGAAAGAAATTAGACACTAGCCGAAGCGATAATGAACAAACTAGAAATCCAAAGTAAACGTGAAATCAGTAGATGATTCAAAATGAGATTCAAAATGAGCTGAGAATGTGCCGAAGTGGCGATGTTCCTAAGTAGCGAGCTAAAACAGCTAAAAATTGTAGGGTTAAAGGAGGTATGTGTATACGTACCCACTCCCTCCCCCCCCTTTTTAGGAGGGGGGACAGCTGAACCCGTCCGAGGACGGGCTGGCTACGTACCCTTTGCAGGGATCAAGCCGTCCCGTAGTTCATGCTGGTCGTGCTGCATCCTTAGTGATAGTATATCTTCAGATGCATTGCGTTCCATGATCTTAGAATCGCCTAGTCAGCTAGTGTCGCGAGTTCGTAGAATCCTGGACGAACCACTTTTGTGACCTTGTAAGGACCTTCCCAATTTGCTCCGAGCTTCCCTGCGTTCTTCTCGGCAGTGTTTTGGAAGGCCTTTCGGAGGACGAGCTCCCCTGTTTTGAATCATCGACTTCGAACGTTTTTGTTGTAGTATCTCGTCGTCACTTGTTGATAGTTCTGGATTCTAATTAAGGCTTGATCGCGCTTTTCGTTGATTAGGTCGAGCTCATCTAGCATCATTAAGTGGTTCAAGCCCGCCTGTCCTGATAGAAGTCTTCGTCGAATACCTGGGAAATCCACTTCGGGGGGAATTACGCACTCCGATCCGTAGACCAAAGCGAATGGAGTTTCCCCAGTGGCTCGGCGCGGAGTTGTCCGATGAGACCAAAGGACTCCTTCGAGTTCGTCTCCCCACCGCCCCTTCTTGGCGTCGAGCCTCTTTTTCAGACCGTGGAGGATCGTCTTATTGGCTGCTTCGGCTTGTCCGTTCCCTTGAGGGTATCTTGGCGTAGATTTGCTGAGGCGGATTTTCCACTTTTCGCAGAAGGCTTCGAAGCGTGTTGAGATGAACTGGGATCCGTTGTCGGTGACTATCTCGTAAGGGACCCCGTGTCGGCAGATGATATTTTTCTAGACGAAGTGTTCGACTTGAACATCCTTTATGCTTGCGTAAGATTCGGCCTCGACCCACTTGGAGAAGTAATCCGTGAGGACGAGCAGAAAACGCTTCTGCTTCGAGCGATGTAGAGGTCCGACGATGTCCATCGACCATCTCATGAACGGATAAGGTGACGAAATTTACGAGAGCAACTCGGTAGGTTGATGAATTGTTGGAGCGTGCCGTTGACACTTCTCGCACTTCGCCGTAAATTTCTCGCAGTCCTTGACCATCGTGGGCCAGAAATAGCCGTGCCGTTTTATCTTGATAGCGAGCGACCTTCTGCTGGAGTGGTTCCCGCACGCGCCGCTGTGCACCTCTTGCATGATCATCTTTCTTGCTTCTGGTCCTTCGACGCATGTCATGAGAGGCCCTGAAAATCTCCATTTAAACACCTCGCCATCAACGAGGACATATCGTGCGGCCTGAGCTTTTAGTTTGCGGGCTTCCCATTTGTCGGTCGGCAACTCTCCATCGGCGATATACACTCGGATAGCTCTGAGCCATTCTTTGTCGCAGCCGTACTCTGGCTCGGCCGGTTGAGGGTCTTTGTCCATAGGAATGGCTTCATCGTCTTCTGGTTCTTGTTCGGGAGGATTTATCAGCCGAACTCCTTCCACCTCTTCGATGCTAGGACGTTCGATGAATTCAACTGGGATCGTTCGTCGGAGGCGAGTGCTGCCAAGGCGTCGGCCGAGGTGTTTTCTCCTCGGGGAATGCGCGTGAGTTCGAACTCACCAAACTTTTGTACCAACTCTCGGACCACTCTGAGGTGAGCTCCCATTCGTCCATCCGTCGCCTCGTATTCTCTGTTGAATTGACATGCTACGAGCTGTGAATCACAAAAGGTTCTTATCTTTCGAACTCTGATCCCCTGCGCTAGTCGTATGCCGGCGATCAGTGCTTTGTATTCCGCTTCGTTGTTCGAGGCGTGGAAGTTCAGGCGAAAAGACTGCTCCAATATTTCTCCGGTGAGAGAGGTGAGGCGGATTCCTATTCCCGAGCCGTGTTTAGACGACGAGCCGTTGACGTGCAGCGTCCACACTTCATCTAAAGTCGGCTCGTTTGTTGTTTCGGCGGGAAGTTTAATGAGGAAATCTGCGAGCACCTGTGATTTTGCAGACGACCTATTCCGATACTCGATGTCGTATTCGCTTAGCTCTATTGCCCACTTGGCGAGCCGACCGGATTGGCTAGGGCTGTGTAGGATCAAGCGTAGCGAGCACAACAATCGAATGTGATTGAAAGTACGAGCGCAGTTTGCGAGCCGAGACTACGACGGCTAGGGCGACCTTCTCGATCTGGGGGTAGCGAGTCTCGGCGTTGGTCAGTGTCTGGCTGATGTAGAAAATAGGTCTTTGCTCAGACCGTTCTTCTCTGATAAGCACTCCGCTTACAGCTGTAGCAGACACTGCGATGTAGAGGAAGAGCGGCTCTCCTTCGACTGGTTTTGCTAAGATTGGTGGGCTCGCCAGATAATTCTTCAATTCCTGGAAAGCCGTCTCGCACCGTTCGTCCCACTCAAATTTCTTGTTTCCTCGGAGGGTGTCGTAGAAGGGCAGGCACTTGTCTGTGGAGCGGGAAATAAACCTGTTTAGCGCGGCGACTCTACCTGTGAGCCTCTGAACTTCGCGCTTCGTCCTTGGAGAGGGCATCTCAATTAACGCCTTGATTTGCTTGGGGTTTGCTTTTATGCCTCGGTGAGTTTCCAGATAGCTGAGGAATTCTCCCGAGGTGACCGCAAACCTGTACTTCGCCGGGTTTAGTTTCATGTTGTGTTTGTTCAATTGTTCAAAGCATTCCCGTAGATGCGCGACGTGGTCTTCCTCTTTGAGTGATTTAACTAACATGTCGTCGATGTACACTTCCATGGTTTTTCTGAGCTGAACCGCAAACATTTTATTGACGAGCCGTTGATACGTTGCTCCTGCGTTCTTGAGCCCGAACGGCATGACTTTGTAGCAGTATATCCCGCGATCGGTTATGAATGCCGTTTTTTCACGATCATCAGGATGCATCAGGATCTGATTGTAGCCGGAGAACGCGTCCATAAATGTTAACAGTCTATTCCCCGCAGTGGCTTTGACGAGCCGGTCTTTTGGACATGCTTTGTTGAGGTCGGTGAAATCCACACATACACGCCACCTGCCGTTCTTTTTCTTCACGACCACCGGATTTGCAAGCCAGTCCGGATATTTGGCCTCGGCGATTGATCCTACTTTGAGTAACCTCTCGACTTCGTCGTTCACTGCTTTAGCTCGTTCGGGGCCGAGCTTCCTTCTTTTCTGCTTGACTGGTTTAAACGTCGGATCCACATTCAGCTCGTGACAGGTTACGTCAATGCTTATGCCTGGCATATCTTCCGCTGTCCAGGCAAAGGTGTTGATGTTCTCCTTGAGGAGGGAAAGGAGTTTGCTTCTCAAGGGTTCTTCCAGCTTTGTCCCTATTTCGACGCATCGTTCCGGGCGCGCCTCTTCTATACACACCGAGTCCACCGCGTCACATACCGGCTCGGCGCGTGTTTCGCGGCTCTCCGCGATCTGTAATTGCTATAAGAGTTTCGAGAGCTCGTTCGCAGAATCTCAGTCTGTCTTCATCTTTTTGCGGTCTATATCTGCTCGTGCGTCACTGACGGAGTTCCTCAGCTTGTGCTCGGTTAGGCAGCACATTCTCGACTCCTTCTGATTTCCCCATATCTTTTTGACACTCGATGGAGTTGAGAATTTGAGGCAGAGATGATAGGTGGAGGGAACCGCCCTCATCCCGTTGATCCATGGAGTTCCCATGATCACATTATAGATTGCTGGGTGATCAGTGACGCAAAATTCGACGATCTT